CTAAACTTCCTAAACCCTAACCCCTAAACTCCTAAACTCCTAAACCCCTAAACCCCTAAATTCCTAAACTCCTAAACCCCTAAAGAAGCCTTCGGGCTGGTCCGGCCTCTGCAAGCTCTGCATCCAGAAGGGCCCGGAGTGGACACGCAAAGAACCTTGCTTCTAACCCCAAAATGGGACTTTCCGAAAATAAGGGGGGTACCTTATTCTGGGGTCCTTATAATCAGGATCCTACTATTTAGGGTACTATATTAGGGTCCCCTATCGTCGGAAACCCCCAAAATCCTAAACCCTAATATATCGGCCCTCCGAGCTTCGCTTTTTGACCGGAACATGCCGGGGAATGAGTGCGGGAGGTGATTGCCTCCAGGTGGATATTTTTGACACCCTACACCGGTCCTACTCTACCCTGCATTACCCATAATAAGGAATATACCATAATTCCCAAAGTTTAGGGTCCTTAAGGTAATGCGAAGGATTTATATCCCTTCACCCTTTTTCCACAGGCTTGAACTGAGCTCGCCCGGCCATAAACCCTAAACCCTAAGCCCTTGTTATCATAGTTTAGGGTCCTTAAGGTAATGCTAAGGATTTCTATCGTCAACAGTAGACCTTAAAGCCCCAAAGCTCAGCCAAGGAGCGAGCTGAGGGCCTCCTCCCAAACGCCAGCGTCCCGGCGTCCCTTTCGTCGAGCTTGCTACCGTGGGGTTTAGGGCTTAGGGTTTCAGGGTGGAGGGGCTAGGTGAGTCTTTCGGATATTTGCCTTCGTGTAGAAGCCTCCACGATGCGAGGTAATCCCCCCACAGTTGAGCTCGGAAGCACTCGCTTCAAGCCGAGCTTTCAGTTGCTTGTGGATCTTTGTGTGGTCTTGTCGTTTGGTACCGCGCGCTTCCGTCGAATAGAGCCCAGCATTTTCAACTGCCAAGTTTGACACACTAAGCCCTGAACCCTAAACCCTAAACCCTTAGGGTTTAGGGTTTGGGGCTTCCTCAAAACAAGCCTTCAGCAGCAGCGTGACCAGCCCCTCGAGGTTTAGCTCCTGGCAACTCTTGTCGCCTTCAGAAGTTTCGCTGTACGGGGGCTGCATCAGGTGAGTTCGGCGAACGACATCCTTCCTACAGATGTGAACACATCAGTCTGCAAAATACTCCCTACTGATCCTTTTATATGTATACATATAAATAAATAAATAAAAAAATATATATATATATATATAAATATGTGTGCGTGTGTGTATATCTGTGTAAGTATCAGACCTACACTCTCCTCGCCGACTTCCACGACTTGATCGTCCTCATCGATATCGGTGCCTTTCGAAAGCAGAAACTGGGCCTGCTGAAATGCAAAGGTCGACTACGCCCATTTCGCATCGGAACAGCTGCGATGCCAGGAACTGCAACCTGGAGTACTGCCTTGAAGATCCTGAAATGGCTGATGGTCGTAATAATTGGTATTCCTCTTACCAAGGAAATACAGCAAGGTTTCTCAGAATAAACCTAAGTCCAAATTTGCCTTCGGGATGTATGCTTTGGAGACCCCTCTGGCTGGCTGGCAACCGATGGGCCTTCTCGCGCGTCATGGTCCACCACCTTCAGCGCATGTGGAGTGAATGCTGCAAGAGGTGGAAATGAGAACCCTCTCTTCTTTCGGGGATCATCAGCCTTTTATGTGAGACTGGCAAGCAAGAGGTCAGGGGCGCCAGCTTGGAATTGTTCCAAGCATTCTGATGTTGATGATGCCAGTCTTGAGCATCTCTCTTACGTCAGCAGATCTGAACCGTTTTGGTGAGCAAGCTTTAGCCCTGGAAACGCGGACTCAGGAATGTAGAACGACCATGCGAGCCTCGGTAGCAGCTGCTGCGCTTGTGGCACACCTCATGCTCAGAGTTGGCAGTGCCAAAACATCACGGCATGTGTGGGCAACCCGAAGCTCAATAATTTGCGAGGCAGTCTTGCAGCAGTTGGAAGGATTTCACTGAAAGTGTGTGCTGCGACCCAGTCGAAGGCTGCAATGCCGGTATTGAAGAGGAGGCCTGCCAGATGAGAGCAGGGCAGCAAACTTGGGCGGCTCATGACGAAGCTGCAGAGACTGGAACTTTGATGCCTTGTCCCCCGGGAGTATGCACAGAGCGCAGAGGAAAGCTCCATGTCACTCGCTCAAGGATGCCTTATGGGGTCCCAACCGACAATCCGCCTGCCCGAGTGCGATGCCGTTGGCAGCTGTTGCAGGTGCCTCACAATGAGAAGGCGGCGTCTAGAAGTTTTGAAGTTGATCGCATTTGGCAGGCTCCGGCAACCTCAAACTCGCACTGTCCAGCCTGTTCTGGAGCGCTGTCCAGCACCGGTGCCTGAGACCAAGGCTTGCACCCACCGAAGTCCCGCAAATTTGTGACGACGCTTCACTAGGGCACATTGGCCCACAAATGTCGTCATTCCAATCCTGAAGCCCCCAGAACCCGTTGGGGCCTTGGTTTGCCCCTAAACCCTAAAGTAAAGGTGATACTATGAATGCAGCTGGGAATGATATTGCCAGCAACAGTACTTTTGATAGCATTAACCGGCAGCAGCGGCAGCAGCAACAACGACAACGGCAACAACAACGACTGCAACATCAAGGAAGCAACAGAGTGACAATAAAAACATTAAGAAGAAATCATGTTAATCATCAGAAACAGAAGAATAAAAACCATACAGCATCGATAATTTTATTATAAGAGCCACTACTACGAGATCTAACTAAAGGCAACCCCCAGGTCCAAGGTTGTCTTAGTTATGATACATATGTTACATAAGAGTAAGTTTCATACCCAGGTCAAGATGTACTTACATCCTCATTGTCGCAAGACTCCTTGCATGCCCCCTGCCTGCAAGTGTCAGCACTGTGTAGACTGTTCAAGGGGGGGTGATTTGCAAATGAGCTTTTGCCAGGGTTGCATCTGGCAGAGTTCAACATGCCTACATGCACCCCTGCTTTTTCGGTCTCCTCATCCGCAGATTCGGGCAAACTGTGTTGCCAGCGTTGTACGTAGACCCGAAGAACTGGACTTCCCTTGTGCCTTGCGCGGCCATAGCTTGGAATTGAGCGGACCTGCTTTCCGCTGATGCTCCGGACGGTCGCGAGTGCTTTCATGAGCACCCCAACAGAATACTTGTTGTCTGAATAGCAATGGACTGACACCGCGCCCTTTGCCCGGACTTCTGCAATGACAGCATAGGCCAACTTCCCTACCGGTGTTTCCCCACTGACTTTCAACAGGTGGGTTTGGCTGAAGTCTATGGAGTTAAACTCCTGCCAGCTCGGACCGCGAACCGCTTCGACGAGCAAAGCTCGCGCAGCAGAGGACTTGGAGGTTTCCTCCGGGGTGTCTGCTGAAGCCCAGGCTACGCGGAACTCTGCCACGTGTCCCTTCAGCAGGCAGAATGACCGGATTGCGTGCATGACAGCATCAGGTCCGCGACAGTTCATCTTCACTTCATTGCCCATCTGCAGCCTATCCTGCACAGCGGAGATAAAACGAAATGCAGTGTCCTGATCGGCATTAGCAGGCGGATACGCATGGAAGACTTTGATACCTGCTCCGGCATCAGGCACATCTTCTTGCTCAGCGAAGGTCAAATATGCAAACAAACGACTCGTGGGATCGTCCATTGGCGTGACAATGTTGCACACCGTTTTCAAGCTTTTGAAGGGATGTAAGCTAGGTACAGAAGCCAAGCCCTTGGCAAGAACGTGCACTGCCGCTTCGTCAGCCAAGGGGGCGTACACTCGCACTGCACGTGATTCTGAGGTGTTTCTCTGCAAAACGCTCGCAATCGATCGGGCCAAGTCCAACGGCCGTGTCTCTGCCTGGACGGGGATGCTCTTTGTGTTCATGATCCGGTTTTGTAGGTACTCCTCCCACGGCAAGAAGCACTTGGCAATGAAATGCAAACAGCGTTCCTTCACCGACTCCTTTTGCTGCCACCTGACCTGGAACTGAACAGCTTTCGAGCATGTGGCGAAGGCGTGTATCGTGTTTTGAGATGCTGGAGCACCCCAGGCTGATAGCTCCACCCTCTCACCTTTCTCGAGCGTTCTGTGCAAATGATTGCGAAACGTAGACACCTTTTCTGTGGAGGCTCCGCCACCAGGGGGCCGCATCTGGACAAGCTGCCTCCAGGTCCCGTGGATGCGAGCAGCTGCCCAAAAATCGTAGCTTCGCGACCACAGCATGGTTAGGGTTTAGGGGTTTGGGGTGGTTAAAGCTGGCACTGCGAGCAAATGCATCTGGCTGTAACACAGGCGGTTTGCCTTACCTTAAGGAGACCTTCAAAGCTGCTGAATGCAAACAAGAATGACATGATCTCCTACTGATTATCAGCCAGGGACCAAAAAGCAGCTGCCCAATGAGACTATCCCCTTGCAGGCTTCTGAGTGTCGGACCTGGCTACGAGCAGCTCTCCAATTTCAATCCCGAGATTGGGCAGACCCCACGCGGAGCAGTGTGTTACTTACGTGTGCTGAGTTTCTGCGAGGCTTCCAGGAGGGACTCCTCCAAAAATCTGACCCTAAACCCTATTTAGGGTTTAGGGTTTAGGGGTTTAAGGTTCCCCCAAAACCACTCTGCAGCTGCCGCCTCCGTGGGCCATCCCGGGATGTCAAAGACCTCCACCTTCTGGGAAACCTTGGCCTGGGTAGGGCTTTAGGGTTCAGGGGTTCAGGGCTTTTTTAGGGGTTTAGGGGTTTAGGGCTTTAGGGGTTTTTTTTCCACCCGCGCAGGGAACTCGTTCGATGAATGATTACTCTTCCAATGCTTGGCTGTGCAGAAAGGGGATCAAGGATCTGGATACGGTTTAGGGGTTTACGGTTTAGGAGCCGCAAAAGACAAGCTACACCCACATCACAAGGAGCCCTCAACCCAAATCCAGGGGCCTAAATTATTGCTAAAAGGGTTTCGGGGCATACTATAGTATGCCAAAATTTCGGAACCCTAAGGAAGAGTCTTGCTAACCAGGCTTCTAACGCAACGTCCCGAAACCCGGCACCGCAGGGACCTGCCTGGTTGAGGATTTCAGGCTTCCAGAACCTCCTTGTCAGCTTCCTGTGCGAGGATCACATGAGTTAAAGGAAACTACAGGTGGGGAGTTTAGGGTATATAGGGCTTCTCTAAGGCTTCTATAAGGTATATATATATATATATAGACCTTCTATAAGGCTTCTATAACGGTAACTACCCACCTGAAAATGTCCTAGAATGAGCAGAAAACTTCCCTTCTGGTCCGCATATGACCCTAAACCCTAAACCAGGGTGTTACAGGTACTCTGGTACAGCAGTTCCAGTATGATATACACAATGAGCCGCCCTAATCCTAAAACTTCCTAGAAGGCTCCTAAGGTGCCTATGTCGCACTCGCTTAACTTGCCTGGGGCAACGAGCCTCTGAGAAAAAAATGAGCATTCAAAGTATTGCAAACTTTCAACATCTCCGTCAGTAACAGCACAGTACAGTATGGTATCGTAACAGTATAACAACTTCATCCACCGGCGCTGTTCAAAGCCCTTCCCTTTCCAAGAAGCTGTGACGGCAGGAAACGTGGTTCCAAAGCTTCGAGGCCCCTGCCGTGGCGGGGAGTGTGACCGAGAAGGCGCGGGAGGATCGGAGCGATGTGGGCTTCGGCGCAAGTCCTGGGGCAGTCAAGGAGATGCACAATAGGACTCAGTAGGACGTGCCATGCACAATAAATGTTGGCATGTGCACAACACGGCAAGTCAGAAGTAGCTCTGGTGATACGTCGTCGGAGGCCCATGACAGAAGAACTCGGCACCACCGCGAAAACAGGAGGACTAACATGCATTGCAACCAGGCATCGATGGGAGGCTGTGCCGCCTCAGGCGGCAAAGCCTTGTCATTTTGTGTTTAACAGAGGGCCTTTTTTGCATGGAAAGCTCTCACTTGCAGAAACCTCTCGTGTGGCATACCCAAGATCGTGCCCAAGCAAATCAACTGCTGCGTGATGCCAGCCCATGACACACACACAAGCTTTGATCCGTAGTGCTTGCACCCTCATGAAGTGTTGCGCAAATAACACCCGAAACAGAAGGTTGACCGTGATCATGTAGGAATGAGCCAAGCTTCATCTACGCACAAGGCTCACTAAACCCTTTGCTGAAGCGATGGCAGCCCATGGACGAGGCTTATGGGGAATTGGCAGAAGGCCACTCGTGAAACTTCTGTAAACTGTCCATAAATCACAAGGACCTAACTACCAGACATAGCCAACATCTGTCAATCCAACTCTTTTGCCTGAGGGACACGCGCGATATGCGGCCAGGGAGAGAGAACTATGGGGAGTCATGACCAACTGTTCAAACGTCCCTGCCGGCCATGGAATGCCTTTTCGCTCAATTGCTTTTGCTGGCTTCTCTTGTTCGGGTATTCCTGAAACAGGAGATTCGGGGCCTAAAACCCCCTGAACCCTTTTGCACCCCCTTTCTCCCACACGGTTTAGGGCTTAGGGTTTAGGGCCTAAACCCTAAAACTCTAAACCGGGTTTAGGGTTTAGGGTTACACCCCAAAACCCCGAAAGGCACCGCAGCCTCGCTCGAGAGCCTCCTGGAGGCCACGGAGGGACCGGCGAGGCTCCGGCGGAAAGCGAAGGGCTTAGCCTCGGGGTTCCGTTTAGGGCTTGGGTCTTGGGTTTAGGACTTGGGGGTTTAGGGTTCGGGGATTTCGGGTTTCGGGGTTTAGGGGTTTGGGGTTTAGGGGGTTTCGGCCGGCGCGCACACTCTAGGACACTCCAGGGCGAGGCAGGTGGTTCGATGTCTGCTCGGGGTTTCGACTCTCCCTCTCGCAGAGGCTTCCGGGTTTAGGGCTTAGGAAATCCTAAACATCTAAGCTTTAGCCCTATAGGGCGTGCCTGGGGACAAGAAGGATGGACCCTTGTTTGCCCACGTGCAGCCATAGCGTGGGCTGCGAATGCCTTTACCAGATGTTACTATGAAACTTCCATGATATTACTCTACTATACTCTAGTATACTCTACTCTACTGTTCTATTATACTATGTCATCTTATCCTACAAGGGTCACAGTATCCTCTAAACCCCTGAACCCTGAACCCCTAAACCCTAAGCCCTTAACCCCTCAACCTCTAATCCTAAACCCCCAAAGGGCCCTAAACCCTAAACCCCTGAACCCCTCAAACCCAAAACCCTTATAGATCCCTTTAAAGAAACCCAAAACCCATCCCTAGACCCTAAACCCCTAAAAGGCCCCTAAACCCGTCAGAGATCCCCAGAGACTCCAAAACCCCCTTAATTAAGGAATATACATTAAAATCTTATGAGGGTTCCTGCTATAATTTCAGGTATATTCCTTAATTAAAGGTATATTC